GTCACATGACCAAACAAATACCACATGGCCAACACCCTCGACTCCCCTTCCAGAAACACATATTCAAATGGCAACAAGATGGAAATAAGCATTGGTTGTTAATATCAGCCCAGTTTTACTTGATGACTTACATTGGGTGATATCAATGTCAATGCCGATATATTGAGCATCTCCATCTCAAAGTTAGCATGATGAAGATGAAGCAAGTCTAAGCAAAACTCCATGAGTTTTGCTTAGACAGATATAAGGCCTATATAAGGCCTGCTAGCTTTCCAGGCCTTATATCTGCTAAGTGACTAGATAAACTATAATTGCCAGTCACACCAAAAGCATACCATTTTAATAGGGAATGAAACCACTGCTTATTCATCATCATGTCATTCTTGAAGTACGTTTGTCGGAATTGTCACAAGTGGTTACACAGAGCTGTGAAAGGATGGGTGACGGTTTGATGCAGCAGCTCTGGAGAGATGTTGAGAGTGTTCTTCACAATAATTAGTCAAGTCACCGGAGTTCTGCAAGATTTCACCTCCCCCACAAAGCCGTGCGTAACAAGAGTTTGGAGCAGTTGTGTCCGATCCCCTACAATTGTCTTTGAAAGGATCTAGAACAAGGGATTTTGTTGCCACATCTATTATCTCTGTCATTTTGCAGCCTTGTTGTGAATGCAGAACAGGCGCTGGTAACAGTATTACTCAGGCAGGACAACACTTTCCCAGACTTCCTCTAATTATCATTGCATAATACTTTGACAAGCATTATGCACAGAAATGACAAACATGAAGGAGATAATAGATGTGGCAACAAAATCCCTTGTTCTAGATCCTTTCAAAGACAGCTGTTGGGGAGCAGACACAACTGCTCCGGACTCCCGTTACACACCGACGTGAGACGGCTTAGCTGGAGAGGGGAAGTCTTGCAGAGATTTGGAGAGCTATGTCCAGAGATTAAGGAGTTTCTCCTTGTTACAAAATGTCCAAAATAAGAGCAAATTAATGAAGATCAGTGGCGGCTCGACTTGGTGTTTTTACTTAATGCCGCATGAGCTAAAGGAATTACTAGACTTCGCTCTAATGAAACTGGTGGCTTCATTCATGTGCAAACCAAGATATTGATGTTGATTTGTTCGTAAAGACATGAGGGAATGGGTACCTCTTTGACACCAACATCCAGCTCTACTTATGTGTGTAAGCCAGCCTTTTCCAAAAGTAAGGCTTGAAGATTATTTGTCCAAAAAACTATTCTACTGGTACTAATTGGTCATTTGGAGGCCTGTTGGAGGCTAGCTACCAGCTGCTATTGTTCGGTCTATGGAACATTAGCTGACTTTATTCAGCGCAAATTATCAGAGTAAACAATGAACCATGAACTGAATAATTTAATAGTGCTGTCAGGCAGTGGCAGGCTTATTTCCGCTAAAGCACTCTATTAGCTTGGTGCTTTAGCTAACTCTGAAAATATTTAGTGCAGTTAGCTTCCTGTTCACTTGTTTTTCCGCATAAATTCTGAAGTGCTAATTTACTTGGTTGTTTTGTAAACTTTCAGTTCAATAAAGATCACCATCTGTTTGGTTGTAGACTTAAAGACATTTTCAGGTAGTTGTAGACATTTATATTCATTCTCTTATTTAAAATGGGTGAAAACTGCTTATGCAGCAATCCTGTTTACTTTTCTTACTTTCTGTCCTTTTTCCCCAATAACCTTATTTCAAACATAAATTATATAGGACTAAAATAAAACATGGACAGTAGAGAACAAGATGTATACCAAAATGCAATATATAAGGGCATAATAGAAAATGTAAATCATATTGTCAAAATTAAATTGGGGTTCGAGGGTTGGAGTCTTTCAAGGGCAGACAGTCCGAATTGACGTTAGCGCTTTAGCATTAGTTTCCACTAAATAATGTGTTGGTGTAGCGCTTTAGCGGAACTAACGTTTATGATTAGTACCTGCCCACCACTGCTGTGAGGGTTCATGCAGTTAACCAAATATTTCATGTTGTAACATTTACTTTGAATATTAAAAGGCATTTGCGTTTTTATAATCTTTTTACGACTATTCAACAAACATTTAGTAATAGTTGAATGGATATTGAATACATTAGCTAAAGGAACTCAGTTGGTGTGTTAAACACCTTCAGAAACAAACATTCCAAAAGTAAAGGAATGAATTCATCAGACATTATTTTTGTGAAACCACATCAAAGAGCAGAGTCTAAAAAGTGTAACAGATCCAAGCATTCTCCTCACAGTAACACAATAACACCGGCGCTTCTCTGGCATGAGGCGCACTGCTGATTGGATTTTCTATTGCAGACAACATTTGACATTTCTCCAACTTAATCTGATTGATACAGACAGCGAATGAGATATTGACTGAGGGGCAGCTTAGGTACGGGGAAACACAAGCATCATCCGATTTCCAATCTCAGTTTCCAGAATGGGATAAAAGCTTAAACGATTTTTGTAATTTGGCAGAAAGAACGCTGTCGCTAATTAGCAATCAAAGGGGGAAAGACATGACCGAGAATCTCTTTTCAAAGACCACAAATTAAGTACCAGCCACAAATATCTCCAAGATATTAAAGGGATTACACCTGGAACTCTTGAGCAACACAAAATGCACTCTATTAAATACGTCTGAAAGTGAAATGTGCCCGATTGTTTCTGTAGGTGTAAACATCTCCACAGAGGGAGAGAGCTATTTGAAGTGCATGAAGGGAAACCCAGGCTTTACTAATCTTGTTAATTCTCCTTGACATTTTTCTACACTGTTTAAGTCACATGAATGCACAACTCAAACATGAGAAGTGCAAGTGATTTTATGTGATAGACAAACACAAAGAGTGTTAAAGTGGCCAGAACGTTTTTGATGGTTTTCATTTTTTTTACAAAAAGAAAATCAGAGAATTGTGAAATACTTTTGTATTAAACCCCACCATTACTCTTATACCCCAAAGTAAAATCCAGTACAACCAATTACCAACTTTGACTAAGTTGGCTATTCATATGACTTCTATGGAAAAACAGGTAGAACAAAATGTAAAATTCAACATTTTACATTTTGGGCTAAATGCATAATGATGGAAAGCACCATCCCTACAGTGAAACATAGTGGTGGCAGTGTCATGCTGGAGGGAAAACCCATTTAAATGACTTGGAACTGAGTAGGAGGTACACCTTAAAGCAAGATAGTGGCAATAAACACGCAGCCAAATCTGCAGGGGAATGGTTAGAAAAGAGCAAAGCATGTTTATGTTCCAGAAGGGCCTAGACAAAGCCCAGAGCTGAATCCATTTGAGAATCTGCAGCAAGACTAAAAGATTATTGTAATCACAGAAGCAGTATTGACAGGGGGAGTTGAATACCACCACGGAATATTATGGCCATACCAAGAACAAATTAAATATAAAAAACATAAAGTTATGACAACAAAATTATAAAATTATAAAAATAAAGTCAATATTATGAGAGTAAAGTCATGACATTATGAAAATAAATTTATATGAGAATAAAGTGATAAGAAAAAAGTCATACAAGAAAAAAGTTGAAATAAAACAAGTAAAGTCATGATATTATGACTTCTTGTAATATTACAACTTTATTCTTATAGTATTATGACTCTATTCTTGTAATTTGCTTAACTCAGCCTTAAATTAATGCATACTCAGATTTCTGTATTTGTAAAAAGATCAAAATAAACTATTTATCTTTTACATTCTACTTTATAATTATGCAGAACTTTTCTTTACTTTCCATAACTGTCTGGGTTAAAATCAGGTCATCTTGAAAGCAAGTCATTTAGAATTGAACATTCAAGCATCCAGATAAAAACTATCAATGGCCTTTCTCAGAGAGGGTCAAGTGTTAGAACTGGCAGCCACAGAGCAACCCGATCACTACCCTTACTCACAGCCTTCTTCTCTGGCGTTCCCGTCGGAGACGTCGCAGAGAGACGCTTCTCTCTGGCCATCAGCTTGCTGTTGGGTTCCCTCAGGGCCCTCTTCAGCTCGTTGATGCTGGCCTGGTGCTTCAGCAAGACGTCCTGAGATTTATCAAGAAACTGGAGGACACCACAAGACAGAGGAAGGCATTAGCAGTAATTCACAATGTCTTGCTTTAAACAATAGAACTCACATTACCAGGAAAAGGCGGGGAGACAATGCTGCGTATGCTGGAATGTGCACCAAAAGATCGGCTTAAACTCGGGCTGAGAGCAGATTATTGCTTGTGTCTCTTCTATTTTGTCTCCTTTAATGCTACTGGGCCAAAAAAAAAAAAAAAAAAAAAAAAAAAAATTTTGGTTCCAGCTGAATTGCTTGTAGAGATACAAACAAGCATTTTAATCTAGCTCTCGCTCCAAAGTTCAATGATAAAATGAATATGAAACATCTATTAATTTGCTTGCTGATTAAAATTCTGCTTCCTATTAAGGTTTTGTTTGGTTTGTTTGTGTGCTTGGAGTGATGACAAAGTCAATGATGCAGTCATGTAGCGCCATAATTTAATACTCTCTTGAGTATTGACATTTTTCACAGTTCTGAGTGAAATGCTCCTTAACCACGTTTTTTGTTTTTTTATTTCTCTGGCAGCTCCATAATTATTTTAGTCATTCAAGGAGAAATTGAGACATTGTCAAGTGTGAACCATAGTGAAGCTTTATTCCTTTTAGCAATGAAGCTAAAAGGAATAAAGACAAATTCAAAGTTTGTCTTAGGAATGTGCATTTGTAGAACTGAGAACTATTAAATCTAAGCACTTGTTTTAAGGTTGAATAAATCAAACTACTGATATTTCACAGACACTTGAGCAAAATATAATACATCCTTTTATGGATGCAATAAATTATCAGCAAGTTAAAGAGACAGAAGCAAAAGCAGACATCGCTAGAGCCAAATCCATGGAAGTTGTACCTCCTTTTTGTGCCGAGGAGTGGTCTCCTGGTCCAACTGAGAGAGCCGAGTTGGGGCAGGAGAACAGGCGTGCAAGAGATGAAGAGTGCAAGATCATACAGTAAAAGGACAAGGTGAAGAAACAAGATGGAGGAAGTGCTTTGAGAGAAAATACATTTTGGAATTTGAGACAATGGAAAGCATGAAGATACAACGAAAGACCTCAGATGAACCCATGAAGCGCTGCACAAAAGAACAAGTCAGGACAGTTTTATATGAAATGTTGACAAAGGTTTTCTAGAGGCTGAATGTTTTCCATGAAAATGGGTTGGTTTTCCCTGGTTATCCTGGTTATCTTAACAGAAATGGTTAATAGGAGTGAAATTTTGTCCAAGTTCAAGTTGGTTCAACTTTAACCGAAATAAACTTTCTCCCATTGGACACAGGTCAACTATTCTGCCTTTAACAGTGCCATAGTCTAGGAATTAATTTTTGCTGTTTTGTTATTTCCCCATTTTTCAGTTGTGTGTAATAGCCAATGTTTTGTTTTTGTCTCCCTTATAGAAACATGTAGGGTATTAAATACTTTTGGTGGTTAGTTGAGAATAAGTCTATGAAAACCTAAAATAGAAACTTTTCTGTTCTTTCAACTAGTGACGGTGTCAGTTTATCAGTTTATCAGTGGGTTCAATCAGCACAACCTGGTTGATACCAACCATCGTAATACAACCAGTACCAGGAATTAAGACTAACTGGTGGGACTAGATTAATTTTTTTATTCATGTTAATTAGAGTGTCTGTGATTATTTATTGTAATTAATTGCATTTTAAAACAGAACCGAACATCAGCAAAATAAGCAATATTATTGATCCAAAATCCAGTTTGGTGCTAAATTGTTGAATAAATAGACATAGGTCTGCAGGATTGGGCTAAGCTGACTGCTTTGTGTGTAAAGCGCTTTGAGACGAGGTGCATGTAGAAATAAATTTGAACTGAAATTGAAATATAACACTTGCCGTTCCATTTTCATGCAGCTATAAATTACATACATTATGTAATGACGCTAAATTCTTTCACTGATGCTTTTTTTGGAGGCCTTACTCGCAAAGTGGAAGATGAACATTTAAGGGCTGAGGTAGAATCTGACAGATTTACTGATGGATAGTTGAAAACATCGTGCAGACCAATAAACAGACACCAAATACCTCCTGTTTACTGTCAGCTGGGGAGCCAGCCTCCTCCTTATTGCCAGCAAGGGTTGAAGAACAGAGAACTAGTGTTAGAGACAGAAGGCCAGGCTCCAGCCTCAGAAAGAGTTAATGCTGCAGTATGTAACTTTTATTTTAAAAAAAATACTTTTTTAAATATAGAGGGAGAAATTAAGCTCCTTTGCCTTCTTCCAGTGCTACCAGTGCTAAACAGAAATAACCGTTAAGAACCAAGTGGAGGCGGGTCTCAGTACTGTCAATGATGCCCGTTTGTGTGCAGCTCCCAGTGAATGCTAAGGCTAGGTAGAGGTGATCTATCTTTTCACAGATTACCTGTCTCATAACATGCTGTCACAACATGGTGACAGTTTTAGGAAACATGTAAAAAAAAAAAAAAAAAAAAGACTGCAGCTTTATGCGCTGTGAAGTAACCCAGATTAATAAGGAGTGCAGTCAAGGCATGAAAGCTGGGTGAACAGGAGTGAAAGGAGAAGAGTTAGAAAAGGCTAGCATTAGCCTAGCAAAGCTGCTTCTCACCTGAGTTGTAGTGAGAAGCTTCTAATTCTGCTTGTATTTACATCATCACTTCAGCAGTTCCTGTCCAGCTCTGCACTTCAAGAAGCCAGAGCTGACTTGAAACTAGCTAAGCTTCCTCACCCTGATTTCCCTCTTTCTGCTCGGCGTGGTGTTGCCGTCCTGGTCCTTGTCCTGCTCCATGTCCTGGCTCTGATTTGGGTCCCTGTCATCCTCGTCCTGCTCCAGGCTGGGCTCCAGCTCCGCCTCCTGCTCCTGCTCGTCCACCGAAGGGCTGCGGAGGCGGCGCTGCTCGCTGGCGCTGCGGCGGGACAGACCGTCGTGGTTCTCGCACATGGACGACACAGGCCGCGAGAACTCTGCTTGGATCAGAAAGGCCAAGGTTTCAAACAGGAGAAGACAGCGAGCTGCAGCTATTAGCTATCTGAGCTACTTCGCATTTTATCTCCATATTTTGAAGTACTGTTGTGATAACAGTAAAAGTGACGATAAGAACTATTTATGATGTCTTTTTTACGTAACTGTATCAAAGTAAAAGTGGCTGAATAAAAAACATCACTGTAAAAAAAATGTTTGCCTGTATTACTTTCTCCCCTCTTCAGTTTTGTACAACTTTGTGCTCATTTAACATAAAAATCAGATGAACCACCTCGTAGTTTGTGGCAAAAGCTTTGAATAACCCTGCGCTGTATCTCTCTTTTGGTGCTTCATTAGGCAAAGTTACTCACCACCATCCAAGCTCCTGGACAGCAGGTACCTTCTGCTGGCGGAGCGCTCAAAGTGAGGCGCCGGGCGGTCAATGAGGGCGCTGGCCTGTCTGGTCTGAGCCTGCGTCCTTCCACTGTACCGAAACTTGGAGCCCATCACCAAGAAGCCCTTAGGAGGAGGCTCTGGAGAAACCAGGCTGTGGAAACAAAAAACACCACACGTTTCTACACGACACAAAAATGAAGAGAGAGAGAGAGCTTTAGAACAGAACATTTGGAAAGAAAGAAAGAAAGAAAGAAAGAAAGAAAGAAAGAAAGAAAGAAAGAAAGAAAGAAAGAAAGAAAGAAAGAAAGAAAGAAAGAAAGAAAGAAAGGCTAACTGTATTTTCATTGTCTGAACTACAACATAAACAGTTAAATTCAGAAAAGTTCACTACTGACAGCAACAATATTTTACTTCAGTAATGAGTTCTGCTAACAACTTCAAAGGAATTCTGGGAACGTCGTCCCAAAATAAATAGGAATTGACCCTGTCATGGTTGCACCTGACGCAATAAGCAATAAATCAAGTAATTGTAAGATAAATTAAAGCACACTCAATAACCGTCATTTACGTGATTTATTGTTTTTCTCTTTCTACCAAAAACCAGATGATTTTTTTTGGTTTGAACTAGAGTGAATACTTTTGCCAGGGACTGTTGGTGCAGAAATGCTAATGAGAACTGAATCTGAAATGTTTTTCTCACCGGAAGAAGGTGTGGTGCTCAATGCAGACCTTCCACAGTCTCTTGGCGGCTCTGTGATTCGGAAGCTTAAACCCAATGGTGCTTTCAAACTGCTCATACTGGATGGGCCAGAAACACGAACACACAGAAATATAAAGGAGAGGTCAGGGTTGGATCAACATGAGAGAAAATTCAGAAATTGTATTAGCATCTGCAAAGAAAGGGTGAAAAAAAGTTCAGAATATCCTGGATAAAAATGTATTCCATAGTCTATATTTACAGTTTGTAGCTGCGGCTGCAGCTGCAGCAGCTCTGCTGAACGACTTTTTTATTTGGCTTCCTCACAGGCTCACTGTGCAGCCCAGCTGCTTGGCTTGACATTCATATCTGATACGGCTTCCAAAAATACAGGACATGTTGATGGTACATGTCTCTGGGAAGTCTGCAGACTTACTCTAATATGGCAGCTTTTGAATTGAAACAAAAAAATATTCTGCACAATTTCTCTAAAAAGTCAGATCTGCAACGGATCACGGCAAATCCGATTTAGGGATGCACAATAGTTCGCAAATATATCATTATAGTAATGTCATTGTGCACAATATTCACATCACAAAGGACTCTTTGGAGAGCAATAGTTCAGCTAAGGAAAAAATGAAGAGCCTACTGCAGTGAACCTCCTGGTTATTCCACCAAATGTTGATTTATGAACTCATCCTGAGTTAAAACATTAGTATTGTTTCTAAAAGAAAATTAACTTGTTTCATTTGCATTATTTGAGGTTTGAAAGTGTTGCATCTTTTTCGTTATTTTGACCATTTCTCAGTTTTTGTATGGAATTTCGGAAACATGCTGTCAGTAGTTCATAGAATAAAAGAGCAATGTTTATTGTACTCAAACATACCTATTAAAATCAGATAAACTGATCATTTTAAGTGGTGTCTAAATTTTTTCCAGTGCTGTAGCTGGAAGTTGTATTTTTTATGTTTATGCAATATTTAGCCAGTAGGAGTCTCGCAGCAAGAAAAGCTCATGCTAGACACAAATGAAAGGCAAGAAAAGAAGAAAACAGGCGTCTATTGCAACAGATGTCATCAGCACAATATTTACCAGTACAGTCATATTCAATAAATTAAAATATGCATTCTGATTAGACTAATTTTCCAGATAAAACGTACCATTTGAAAATAACCTTCAAATGGTTATTAAACGTACTTTTAATTAAGTCATCATCTCTGTATTATAAAATAATTGTTTTATTTGTCTGATGTAATATTCTAATTTTAAATGTCGTGTTTTTGTTAGCTATAATCATAATTATGAAAAATACAGGCTGGAAAACACCTCTATGAGAGTAATTCATCTATAAAAACTGTTTCACTTGGTGAAGAAGTTCCTGAAATAAATAATATTCACTTATTGAATGGGTATTTATACACAACATTCTAGCAGCAGCCACATTCTGAATTACCTGAAATAAAGTTAAATTGTCCTTGTAGGATTTTATCTGAGTTTTTCACTTTTGCATCCTTGAGTCTGACACACATTCTGCTGATAGAGTACAATGGATCTGAATGATCTGATAGTTCAAAGTTTGTGCGTCAGGGATTATTTTCCAGTAGTTTGTGGAAAATAAGTTTTCCACACAAGTTTCAATCAACTGAGCGTTGATTTGAAACGTGTGTGTTTTACCATCATTCTGTCTCTAGAAGCTGTTAAAATGCATCATTAATAACACAAAATTACAACAATATTCATGTCCATTATCTGAATAGTATACAGTATATCATGACTATAACTTTATAAAGATGCATTTATGTTTTTAATAGATGCCTTTTCATTAACCATAAAATTGCACAACTTGGAATTCCAAAAAATAAAAATTGCTCAATGGAAACAGCAATTAAAATATATATGTTTCTTTTTATTAAAAATTGCACTTTCCATTGCTTTTTTCCAAACACTGCAATGGATCGTATGATCATGTGACATCATACGAGAGGCATGATCAACAGCAGGACGTTACTACTGAGAAAAGTAAAAGAAGAGAACAGTCTTCAGTCATTCTATAAAATCTGTGACTATAATTTCCCCAAAACGCTGCATATCTATTCCCTCCCAAGTCGGCGGGGCTTGTTGCGCCAACACCTGAATAAAACACCAGCATCTCCTCTGGCTGAAAGATGATGAGCGCTAGCACCATGACTGAATTTAAGTGCAACTCATGTAACTGTTTACATCTGTCACTGCCATGATTTTTAATGACTTAACGTTTGAAAAAAAAATTCACTTGTGATTTTAGTTTAATTTCTTATTTAATGAAAACACCGCAATTTCAAAATTGTGTTTTTCTGATAATGGCCTGGCATGTGATCAGGTGCTAAGCAGCCTTTACCTCCCCTGGTCTTATTTTAATGTAGAAGTTGCTCCTTTTGTAAGAAATCTTGAGAATCTTCGGCCAGGCGAAGCGGTTGATCCTCAGTCTGTCTCGGTAAATCAGCAGACCGTTGGCACATACCCCCAGCATTATTTCGATCCCTTCCGAATCCTGCGGACAAACGACACAAGAAATTATTCAAGACCCAAATAGCCATTGTTTATTTCTTAAATTCAAAAAAAATTCAGAGAGGTGCAAACTTTAGCGTGGTGGAGGTCCACCCCATACATGGACAGCTTCTTCGCATTTTCCAAGAAGTTCATTTCAGCCTCTGCGGGCGTCATCCCCCTTAATGAAAGCACAGAAATATGTAAAAGCATCAACATATTTCATAAAGCAATGAAACTCTGAATCATGCCGACTGTAGGTGGAGTAATCTGACTGAATATGCTTGATGTATTCACTTCTAAGTTTCCAAATTAGAGAGTGAGACAGTCTACTGACTAAGAAAGTGCTTTCATACAAACTGCAAGCATCACCATACTGTCTTGAGGAGGACAATATGGTAATGTCACAGCATCAATCAGAGGCCATGTGGATGATTAAATGTTTCAGAACAAGAGAAAACCCCATCAGCATATCGCCCCGGATAAAAAATCTCATCAACGCGGCAGTCTGTCCTGTCATTACTTGTAGGTTCGGTGGAGGTCCATCACCCTCTCCTCCAGCTCCCGGGTCTGGTTGGGGGCAAAGCGGAAGTCACCAACGTAGTCGGAGCCGTGGTCGTCCAGGTCGTAGTCACCCAGCTCAGCCTGGATGGCGTAGGAGCCCAGGAGGGCATGGGTGACGAACGAGCATGGCAGCCGGCCTGACAGGATGTCATCCCTTAGCTGCAGACACAGGTAGTATCTGCGAGACAAGATGAGAAACGTGAGGGAGAGAGGAGCGGGAGGGGCCTCGGTTTGCTGTCAGAACAGCCTGAAGCAGGCAGGCTGCAACAGGTAGTCAGCCTGCTTAATCCCAGCCAGTTACAGGCATTCCAGGGATAATCCATGGAAAAGGAAGGGGGGGCTCTGAAAGCTTTGAAATCAGAGAAAATATGCCAAGAGAATTGTTACAGTACCTTTATGTTAAGACACACACACACAC